AAAATATGAAATTTTTAACCTATTTTACTTATTTCCATTTTTTCGTATGTCTTATTATATTTATGAAAAAAAAAAATGAAATTTATAGTATACATTTATAAAGTTAATTGTAGTAGGTATAATTGATTATATTTATGAAAAAAAATAATTAAAAAAAAAGGGGGGAAATGTCCGCATCGGAACATTTTTCGGGGGAAAATGTCCTACTACGCCAAAAACAGTCGGGGGGAAAATGTCCGGGGGGAAATTGTCCGGATACCCAATGCACCATAGTGGCATAGTCCACAGTATAAAAATGTCATTAGTAGGTATAACTACAAATTAAATAAATATCAACACATTATAAAGTATTTTATTCGATGAATGCGAAAAATATGTTTGGTATTTCATTTAAACAAGGAATTCCTGCACGGTTTCTAATAACACACCCCTATGGCAAAGAATGTTATCACTTCCTTTCGTTATAATATGTGCACCATACAATCGAGTTTTTTTACCATAAATCTTTTGTTATACATTTCGCTTTTTTCAACCCTTACTTTCAATTTTGAAATCGAAATAGTTTTTATTCTCGAGTAGGTCGGTTTAGACTATATATTATAAAAGTGTACATTATAGGCAAAACCAATACTATATATAATTTACTATAGTTCTATAAATTCTATAAAGTACATAAAGTTTTTCAAGATATTTTCACAGCAAACAATAATTCTACGAAAACATGTTTAAGCAGTTTAACAATTTGAAATAGATATAGGAAATTCGTATTATTATTTAGATAAGATAACCTATTTGGTGATAGTTTAGTTCACCAAATATTATAAAACAATAAAATAAGTAAAAATGGTCGTGTAAAATATTAACTGTTGAATAAATATTTTTGTCCAGACACTCGACAATTTAATTTTTAGACCAACATTTCAACCATTTTAATTCGTTTATTATGTTATTATAATGATTAGGAATGCCATCGAGTGTTGTTTATTGTTATTAAGTTAATATAAAAAATATGTTATTAAGTGTTCGATAACAATGTGCGTATAGGTATTATAATTAATTAGTTTACACATTAGTCTTCGAATTCCGTAGGTAATATAAAATAATGGGATCGGCACGAATGACTCATCGCGAAGCCGCCCCGGGAGCGCTTTTCGCATCGACCGATCGATCACAAGCGCACGCACACACCCATCCACATCAAAACCTGCTACAAAAATATAATGTCCTCAATGTATCCCTTCTCGGCAAAAAGGACAATCTGTATCACGATAACGAGTTCTGAGCATACGAGATGTACGAGCAAAGAAGTTAAGAGGATGTCAACTCATTGTTAGTTTTCTCCAGTTTTTTCTCTCTGGCCCACGCGTAACATGGACAATACGCATTCACGAAAAATAATTTTTTTTGTTTTTGAATTGTCTATTTACACGGGCATTTGTTGTCTCCGTCTTACATGTGCCCAGCATATTACGAATTTACGCTCAGCAGTCCATGTTTAGCTTCGTTATAACAGAAATCATAAAGAATAGGTAATATTATTGAGGGTAGACAATATGTCTAAATATTTTCTCTAAACAATTTAATATCCATTTACGAACATTATTTTTTTTATAAAGTCAAATAATACCTAATACAATTTTAAACCCATGTGTAAAATATTTTCCTATAATTTTTGTAATATACCTAAATGATTTTACTCTAAGATTAGCTCGAAGATTAGTTAATCACAAAAAAAAAACCATTTTAGGTGAATTTGTCTGATCCATATGTTGGGCGTGGGTCCGAGAGAGAAAACATATTATACTGCACTGACGTCCTTTAAAAACGACAATTTTTCTTTTTGAATAGAGCGAAATAAAGGGCGACATGAGGCTAATCGTCGGGCGACGGATTTAAGTCGTGCCGTCGAGGGGAGGTAGACGGAAGGACAAGCGTCGAAAGGGTGGCGACTTGTAAACCACCGTTGCAGCGCACTAATGCTGTCTGCCGTTATAAAATACTATATTACATCGGACTTGTTGATCCCTTCGCGATATTGTGATAACGAGCGTGTGTGTGTGTGCGAGCCAAGACGGTTGCCGCGTGTACGTAAGGCAGCGGCAACTACGACCGTCGAACCCGTCGCCGTCGTCGAACCGATCGCAACATGTGTTCGTGCCTTCAGCGGCGGCCGCCGCCGCGGCGTTGCCAGGTTTGGTCAAAACATCCCTGCCGCGGCACCACCGCGAGCCGAGCCCGTTACATGTATATATATATATATATATATATGTTATGATAATGCAACCCACGCCCAAATCGTGCGTTCGAAAAAAAAAAAAATGCGAGTCATGGTCAAAATATTCTGTTGCAAATCTCCATACACGTTTTCGTAAACGAGCACATCCCAACCGCTTCAAAAGAAACCGGATTTTATTCGTATATAGGTTTACCTACGGTGAGATTTTTTTTCGCCCAAGCTGACGGACGTACAAATGTTTTATGTCTAATTTTAGTATTTTACTACGTAATAAATTATTTGTCGGTCTTCAACCCGCCGACCGTTTTAAACGTCATTAAATTTACGATTCTCCGGCCGGTTTTTTTTTATAAATATATTTTATTAACGTTTTTTTTTTGTTTATCGATATTCTATTATTTTTTAAAACACGTGCATTATCATTATTTATTTAATGCCCGGTGCCATTATAGACCAACGATAGGACTACAGGAGTATTGTAAATAGCACATGTCCCGAGATGGCAAACAATACCAGTCGATAATAATGACGACTACGATTGACGATCGCCACCAGAGTTTTCGCCTACCAGGCAAAAAAGATGGGTAGGTACTACTAGAAATAAAATTAACGCCTCTTTTAAATTCTATGACGGCAAAGGCGGTAGGAGGGGGGAGGGTCCGAGTATGACATTAAGAACAATCGACAAGATATACTAGACGTTAAAATAAGAAAAAAAAATAATCAATAAAAAACCATCAAGACGACGATAACGCGATTTAACGTTACAATATTTTGTATCACCAAAACACGAACGGCTCGGGGAATTGCGATTATCGCCTGCCTTAACGGCCGGGTCGGGGGTTGGCGACTGTGGTGGTAAACGAAGGACTCGCGAACGGAGGACGATAGATTTTCGCGAGTGTTAGGTCAGTCACATTCAACGGGTTTTTGGGCGAACGAACAAGTAGTAAAAACCGCCTTCGCACGAAACGAGAGCACACACACGCTCAAGTTATTACATAATATATATTATATGTATACACATTGTCGAGTTGTAGTTTTTGTCTTTCGATAGTCCAGACGGCGGCGCGTGCGTCTCGGGCCAAGGTTATCCAATTCCCTTTTTACTAAGCTATTATTATTTTATTCTGTTCGTTCTGGTAATTGAACAAAATCCGACCGTTAAAAACTCGGTCGGGCTCACCAAACATAGATAATATTCAAATGACTCGGTCATCATTTTGTCGTTCTACAAATGCGTCGGTGCCCGGTGGTAATAATCACTTTAATTTTTTTCATAGAACCACCGGCACAACAGGCAACAATTCTGAAAATTCCGTTATTTTCCATTTCCTCGCCGGCCGTTTAACACAAACAACCGATTATTTATTTTTTTACGTTTTCGACATTAATCTGTCATCATCGAATACACGGTATATACATATATTTTTTTGTACTGTTTGAAGAGCTGTTATACGTTTAAGCGCACAAATCGAACGTTCAATGATGACAGATTTTTTAACGCCGCGATGGTTATGGTTATCACTTATCAATAACAAGTTCAGTGGTAATATAAAAAATAAAACCGTTTTGGAAATGGAAAATGATTTAACGATATTTGATCGTCCATATGTTTCGTTTCGTTTTCTAGCGAGCATCCCGCCCGTCAAATGACTATTGTTGTGCGCGAACTCGAGCAAAAACGCAACACGTTGTCGACGTCGAACAACGGAATACCAAACCCTAGTGGTTTCCACCCGTCGAACGAGTCTACTGCGTCAAACTACGGGTCCGGTTACTACGTAGAACGGTCGAGGCGAAAAGGGGGAAAAAAAATATCCGCCCGAGACGTCCATTTATTCCCCGTTCGGTGTTTGACGTTTGTGTACACACGAACGTCGGACGAATAGAAAAAAATAATATTAAAAATTATTATAACGACGACAATGTATAAAAGGAGATTTGGACACAAATAAACAGGTGGGAACGGCGGGACAGCTGCTACCATGTGTACGTAGATCGGGAGGGGTTCCGCTGTCGCAGCCACCGCGGGTAACGATTTATGGCTGAAAAGACGAATTCAATAATATTGTCGTCGTCGTGGTCTCCGCCGCTGTGTTAACACTCGTGTGAAAACTGATGCATTATTATTTATATTATTATCGTCTGTCGTCGTTCGTGGGCTTAGGGCTCGGGGAGAGATTACTACGAACAGGTAGCCAGTAGTTGCGAGCTGACGTGGTATTATCTCTATATACCCGCCCAACTACAAATGCGGGGTCGGCGGCGATCAATGAGAGAGAAATCGTGGGACGACAACAGGTTTTCGTCTTCTCTCATACATTCTATCTATACTCTTTACGCATGGCTAGAGCAATATAAGATCATACTACAGATTTACGAGGTAGCGACTAAATAATACATTCGGAGCAAAAAAAACGGGAAAGAAAAACGCCCCGGGCGGCGGCGGCACCGCTACACCATTTCCCGCCCGACAACCACGGTTGTGTTCTTATCTTCCGTTCGACGACCGATCCGCAACAATCATGGTGAAACACATATTAACTATAATAATTAAAAATATTTTGTCCTAGCAGAGATTTATTTTTACGCACAAATTCTAGAGGGAGAGGGTCAGAACCATTAAACGCAATACGCAACCACCATATGTTAGAGTCGGCGTCGTCGACAACGGACCGGCAGTACGACCATCGGATAACGGAACCCGTAGGGTAAACAAAATAAACGTAAAACTATAATGTTCTGAAAAAAGATTACTCACCACGCCTTTACCCTGATGACGACTTCACCCTCGCCCATGGTTGGTTCGGGCTTCTTCAGGATCTTGACGGACTTGAGACCGCCAAACCCGGTGAGCACGACGGCTCTCATCTCGGCCTTGGGTGGTTCCTCGACGGCGGCCACCGCAGCTTTTCCGTTGCCCTCGGCTTTCGACTGTTCAACGGCGGTCTCGGATGCCGGTTTCTCCTGCAGCTGGTCGCCTACGGCCGCTGCTGCCGCCGCCACTGGTGCATTTTCTTCAGCCATATCGTTCGATGTGGATTTCAAAACGTCGAAAGTGTGTGAGAGAAAAAAAGACAGTTAAGGGTTTTCTGATAGAAAAAAATGTATAAAACTCGTAAAGGTATAGCCGGCGTACGTGCGGGATTCCGTATGTAAGTGAGCGAAGAGACAGAATTAACGACCGACTGAGTCCGCGTTGCAACGGTGAGTGCCGAGTGGACGGTGGACGCTATGGTCGCTATGTGCGTATTGGCGCCGACAGCGTTGCCGAAAGAACACGGAGCGCGGATTGCGGCGGCGGCGGCGTCGATGATTCGTCCGGCGGCGGTGGTGCTGAGTGCTGATGGCGGCCGTGCGGCGGCGGCAGTAAGTTGTACACCACCCTCTCGTGCAATAAAATTCCTTCTCCTTTCTAATTTTCTATACACGTACTGGGAGCCGCAGTGTGGCCACGCGACCGTTGTGCAGTTACCGTTCGACGACGGTACCGAAATACGGTAATTATGCGATCGGCCGGCCGGCGAAACGGAAGTTCGTTATTACTTATATTAACGCCCTACGTTTGGGCGTTCACTGTACTTCTGTACTCAAGTTTGCCGCCTGCCATCGCCCCATCGTAGCACCCAGTAGTGCCAGTACCGTCTAATAATAATACGTCCATGCTTTAGTATTAAGATCTTTTTTACTTCTAAACTCGTCACCGGAGAACGCGAATACCAGACAATTGTATATTTTATTGGATGCAATTTTGTATTTTCCAAATGATTTTTTTAAAATCGTCCATGCTAACAGCCTATTTATATTATAAACTATACTGCAATGTACAGCGTTTTTTTAGCACATATATATAAATATAATCATATAGGAGTAGTACCTACGTATATACAATTATTCTTAAATATTTAAGCTTTGGTGATAAATGTATTGTAGGTACCTATAGTTTATGATGAACTATGATAGTTGCATAAAATCTATAGCATCATGTTGATACAATTTAATAGTTTGGAGTCGTTTTATTTATATATTATAATTTATAACATATAAGCTGTATAACAAGAATATTACACATAGGCATTAGGCAATACACAAGGAGAGAGAATAGTAAATTAACGTAAAAAACTCAAAAATTTAAAATTGTCATATAAGTTTTTGGCAATTACTTAGAACATGAAATGCTTTATTTCATATAATTGAGATTTGAGACTTTGTATCTATGGTAAATAGTCAATAGTACCTATTATGCTACGATATAACATTGCATTTTTTTTGCATATTATACTGTATTGCTGTATAGTCATATAGATTATATTATACATACGACAAACCTAATACATCTTTGATTTTAATCATAGGTATTTTAATTATTTTTAATTCACTGATGATTTGAAATCTTGAATTTAAAGTAGGTACTTTCGTTTAAGTATAATTTTATAATTAAACAAATATATTAACAATTATATAGTTATTTCAATTTAATTAAAAACAGAATTCATGATTTAGGCAGTTTTACGACTGAGACATAATATATCAAACATATAAACTACCTATTTTATAATATACTCTGTCTCTTCATAACTAACTTATTTATCCAACGCATCCAAATTATCAAGGCAATTAAAAATGTTTAAATTAAATATTTAAATTACTACAAATAAACTATAACAGATATATAAACTATAGCATATATTGTCAGAATAAAATATTTTTATAAGTCTTCTTACTTGTCTATTTTTGAACTAAGCCAATATATTTACTTTGAATATTTATCTTCCCAGTTATTGTATTTGTATTATAATGTATGTATTGAATTTATTGTGATCTTATACGATAACTATTTAACGTCTATACAAAGCTATTTTGTATATCTATATTTATAAAAGTGAGGCGTTACGTGGCAAAGTCAGCAATCTCCACTTTTTTTGAAATAAATGTTTTGATCATATTCATATAATACTTTTTACTCTGCGTCGATTGGTGAAGCTGATTTTTATCACATATAATCGCCCATCGAGATAAAACGTTTTAATACTAGCTGATCGCAGCAAAGAGAGCAATCTCCAATCATAATACCATATAATACATGTTCTACGTTTCTGTGGCAAATGAGGCAATCTCCATGCGTTTCTGTGACAAAAGCGGCAATCTCCGTGGGTTCTTCTTGGGTTCCGCGGCAAATTTGACAAAGTCCATTTTCCCTCCTTTATTATTTAATGTTATTGACATTTAACAAATTATATGAATACAGGGAATAACATCAAACTCCACTATCAACCAACGAAAATAAAATATCATGGAAAAATACAAGAAATAAAGGTAAAACAGTTTTTTGACATTTACCAAAAATCACTGCGTTTGGAGATTGCTGACTTTGCCACATGACGCCTCAAGTCAAATAGGTACCTACCACACTCTCATTCTGCACTTATCGCTACATCTCATAAACTAACGAACTTCCGAACTTGAAATTTGGAATAGTGGTTTCTTTAATGATATAGATGTGTAATAAGAAAAGATTTTCCGATATTTGTATTTTCAACAGTTGATCCAATAGTTATTATCTTCAAATTCACGGTGAAAATTGGAAATTTTTTTTTGGTTATAATTTGTTGCCATTGATTTCAGATTATAATAATAATAGTAGAAATTAGTTTTATTTTTTATAAATATAATATAAATAATGACCATTGGTTACTCGAGTAAATCGGGTAAAAGCATGCATCATCGCGTTAAAGAATCGGCCTCGAAACCATATCTTAAAACCAAATGTATATAGGTATGTGTACAAATAAAATGTACACAAAAAAATATAACTCTATTGAATTTGACGAAAATCTCAGAGATTATTTTTAGAGACATCAGAAAAGTTTAGTGAGTAAGTAGGCTGAACCAACTTAAAAAATACACCAATAGTGCTAAATCCAATCCGCGAAAATCAGTTGCCGGTTGCTCATCTAGGTCGAATTATTTCACAAAGCTACGTAGACTGACGCCGATTTATCCGTGAACTGAGGTAAACTAAAACTGAGTTACACTCAAAACGAGATACACCAGTCGCAGTGGCTCACAACCCAATTACCAAGTGTAGCGGTCGCTACAATAATAACATAAAATAATTAACTTGAAATAAGTTCATTATTAATCACAGATTATATTGGTTGATACCTTAATATTTACTAATATTATCAATTAAAATATGATAAAATGTATAAAATAATATAATTTTGAGTTTGTGAGGGGGTGGGTGGGTGGGTAAAATTTTTTCTTGCTACACCTGAAAAATATATCTTGGGCAGTGGCGCACAGTGTATATACTATATTACTATATTATACTATAATATACTATATGATTTGTCACAAAAACAAACTGCCCTGCACGGGCGAAGCTGGGATATTCAGTTAAGTAGTTATATATCTATATATATATATTTGAAGTGATTACATAGTGAGCACGTGGCGTAACGATAGCAACAGGCTTTTATTTGTAGTCCGTATAAAACGTCAGTTGAACAGTCCTCAAACCCAAAACGTTAAAGAAAATCAATATGAATGAAATAAATTATACGTCTTATACAGACAGAACTACAGAAGAATATCGCTGTGGCCTGTTTGTGGTACTAACATCTCAGTCAAATTCCTGTATAAATAAACAACTATTGTATTTCTGATGGCATTGAATAGTCTTATATACATGTAGCCATATAATTAATTGTATAGTGCATCGAACTACCAAAAAATAAAATGTATAATAATATTATACTAATACTTTATTATACTATAATCTATCTATCTACCTTATAACTGTTATATGAATTACATTTTAGATTATTTAAGCGATTCATAATATATTTCACGTATTATATTTATTGTATAATTATGAATGTTAAGAAAAATAATTGAAAAAATCTTTAATTATGTTGTGTTCAGCTAGTAAGGGCGTAGCTATAGGTCATAACTCTAAGTATACCGTCTGTATAATGTACGCTGTACGGAAATGGTATTATTATTTCAGATGTTTATTGTTGACTATAAAAGTTGAAAAATATATAAATGATTAATTAATAATATACAAAACACGAAATTTATGAAAAGTTTTTGAAATAATGAATGTCTTACTTAAAATTGATCACCCTGTATGCCGTATATATATACAGTATACACTGATGACTGATGAGTCATCAGTATACTGTCATGGCTGATGACCGATTAATATAATATTAATTAGTAAAACTATAGAATATATGTTAAATTATCGTACTGTATACGTATATTAGGTAGGTAATATTAATTATTAAATAAATATTTAATAAAAATAAATAACAAAAAATCAAAGTACCTACTATTACTTTTAATTTAGACCTATGTTACTCTTGATTATAATGCCAATTAAAACCTATATTAAACCGAAATCTAAATATTGAACACCAGGTCAATGTAAATACTGTGTAGTGATCGCTTATGGAGGAAATTCCGTTCGTTCATATATATAATTCAATAATTATTGTTTAAACGACATATCACTTTTGTAATGACCTTTAGACGTTTGTGAGAAAGATAGATAATTTTTAAGTAAACACATCATTTGTTATACTTTATGATAAAGTATAATAAAATAACTTTATTAAACACAATATATAATACCTATATTATTCAATATCTATATCGTACATTCCTATATAATGCATTGGTAATATTTGATCTCTACAATGATTGGAAATGACTAAGCAGGTACTTGTTGCGACGTGGCTGTGACAAAGTCACATTACTCTTAAATCGGGTGAATAGACAGTCTATAACTGTAACTATAGTCTGTAACTTTTGAAAAATGCTAGCAGCAAGGTGGTTGACTCATATTTATACGAGTCATATCGGCTACGAGTATCATGAATCATAATGTTATTAATACCTAAATAATTATTCTAATAGCATGTAAAGTTCCTCTGACCATTAATATTAGGTATATGCACTATGCACCCATGTCCCATGGGCGGAAACAATATATTATGTTTAATCTTTGGTGCTGGAAT